AAAATGGCAAATTTATTACGTCATCGGCTTCTACACGTCTCTTTCAGTTTATGCTAATTCAGCTGTGTAGGTTTGTGTTAGCGTGTTTTGCTCAATAATTTTCTTCAGTCCACTCACAGCAACCAACAGGTGGCCCACCTGGACGTTATTTTGTAATTGGTGCTTCGACTGTGATTAAATTGAACACGTGACAGATTTTTGAGGTGTTGCTTCCAGGGGGTTTTCTGAGCTTCTGGATCGATTTGATGCACCTTAAAGTTCTCCTGTTCTCCGACCCAGGCGTGGTGGAATACCTGAGCAACGGAGGTGTGGCCGAGAACCACAAGGACTTCAAGGAGCTCCGCTACAACGAATGTCTGACCAACTTCAGCTGCAACGGCAAGAACGGCAACTCAGACGGGAGCATCACACACAGCTTCCAGCTGAAGAGCGCCTACGACAGCAATCTGATGCCTTACACCAACTACACATACGACTTCAAGGTAAGAAGAAAGGTTTCATATCGTCGACTCTGGCTGCATGTTAGACTATTAGACGTGTCCTCACTCTGGCCATAAGCTGCCATTGTTGTCCATTCATTTCTTAAAGAACACGTTCTTACAGTTTGCACAGTTTAACCGAAATACAAAACTCAAACAGGTTTCAAAAGCCTGCGAGTGGATTTTCTAGTTTGAACAACAGTGAATAGAATCAATAAACGTTGGGCACATTTCAGAAAATACAATAAAATGAGTGAAACAGTGGGTTAGCGGAGAGTCTCATATCACAGATTTAAACACAATTAAATGCAATAAATCGCCCTGACTTACCCTGATTTATTGTTTTTAATTGTACAAGAGTAGCAAATAATAATAAAAATATTATAAACTTTATTTATAGAGCCCTTTTCAAAACACGTTACAAAGTGCATTCCAACAAAATAAATTAAAAATTGAAATAAAATAAGCACACAGAAAACTAGAAAGCACACAAAACAGAACAAGAAGCTGTAAAACACAACTTAAAACTTAAATAAAGTCAAGAAAAGCTCTCTGATAGAAATGTGTTTTAAGGAGTGACTTAAAAGAGAGCACCGAATCCGTAATGTTTCAGTAAAATTAGATTTTCACATTAATCTCAGTTTTTTAGGCATCTTTTGCACATTTTTCGCTGCACTATAAAGTCCTGGACCTCAAGGAGAGAGAACTCAGAAACAGACTTTGTAACGTATGACACACTTACAATGACTTCACTCATCGAAAATTAAAAATGTTTTCAATATATACAACATTTTTCCAAGTGCACAGATGTTGGCAATAATGGGGGGAAAATGGCAGCTCTTCCTGCTGAGGATGTTTATCTATTTCCTGTTTTGAAGCCTCTAAAAACTCTCCCTATTCTGCTCCTCAGCTGTAGAAAGATGTTTCACCATGCGGAGTGTATCGTCAACAACTCCAGATGGACAATGACCCTAAACATAGCACCAGATTAGTTACAAAGAGGCTTCAGGACAACAAAGTCAGTGTGGTGGAGTGGCCATCACAAAGCCCTGATCTCAATCCTGGAGAACATTAGTGGAGCAAGGAGACCAACAAACCTGACCCAGTTCCACCAGTTCTGTCAGGAGGAATGGGCCAGAACTCATCAGACTGTTGTGCGAAGCTTGTGGAAGGAAACCCAGAACGTTTGACCCAAGTCATAGAGTTTAAAGGCAACGCTATGTTGGAGAAACTGTCTTTTCTCTGCGTGTTCGTTTTTAAAGATGAGACAAGATTCAGCTCGGTCTCAATTAATCATTTTAATCACACGCTGAATATTGCATTGCAGAGCTCCGGGTCAAACTCTCCCTGGCATCAGACAGAGTAAGACTAACTTACCCTCCCAGCTTGTATCTTTTATACATCCATATTACCCCTATAATTATCACAGTTGTTTTTTCCTCTTCGTGTGTTGCTTATCTATCGAAACCAGCAGTCCGTGTTCACTCCTTTCTCCCCACGATCATCCCTTGATGTCCTCATCTGACGATTACTCATATGTTGATTCATCTAAGGCAGTTACTTCTTTTACTGGTTTGCTGAATATAATACTTTAATGGCCTCAGAAATACATTGATTATAGAAAAATAATATCCATTGCTTTATTAAGAATACAGTAATACTCAAGAGATAAAATAATACTCAACAGCTACCAGATACTGAGGAGATGGATGGAAACTTCTGACTTTGAAGAAAGTCATAAAAAAATTCTCTCTCTCATTATTCTGGTGTTCAGCAAATAGAAATAATGTTGGTGATCCTAACTGACCTAAAACAGGAAAACTTTAGTCTGATTTAATGTCAACCAGTGAGAAAAGAAGAGGTTGTGTGTCTTTTTATACAGTGGATGTAAACGTCTGGTTTCAGCTGTAGACACAGTCGTCCTCAGTGTGTTCATCTCCTTCCATTAAAGAAAAGGCAAAATTCACAACAGCAGCTCAAAGAACTAGAAACTGAAAAAAGTCATAATAAATAAAAATGTGCTAAATTATAATTTAGTGAAATAAGACATTGCTTCTGAATTGTTGTTGAAAAGAATAATAAAATAAAATAATAATAATAAAAAACTGTCCTGGACTAATGAGAGCACTTTGCTGATGAGCAGTGAAACCAGAACACCTGTCAACAGGTACAGAAACACCTGATGGCAGTGATTGGCTCAAAGGGTTGTTCAACTAAATATTAGTTTATTTATGTAGTTATTGTGATATAATTATGATATTATGATGCTAATTATGATGTTTAGTTTATTTGTTGATAACTGATAAGCTCAGGCAGTACTTTGCTGCTGATGTTGCTTTAGTTAGCAGTCACAGTTCTGTTTCCACCATCCGTGTTTACTTCCATAAACACTGAGCACGCTCGCTGCGTGTGACGTCGTCGTGTCCTGTTCTGCGCATGTGGGACACTTTTGGGTCGTATGAAGTTCACACAGCAGATCACATACAAGTCGCATTTAACTGGAAATGTGGACGAACTCACAAAAAATCTGATTTAACAAAAAAATCCTCATTGAGCATCAAGTCCTGCAGTGTGAACGTAGCCAATCTGTGGGATTGTTCAGTCAGATAATACGCCGTCATCCTGATTAGTGACATAAAATCTCACGTCGGAGTCAGAATCCAAGGCTGTCGGCATGTTGAGGCTGTTTTTAATGGGTTCTGTTCGCTGTCCGATGGCAAGGTTTTGGACTGTTTAGGGTCAGATTATCGAGTCACCACTTTACTTGTAAAGACTGTGGAATCATCTAGTCTTTCATTTCCAGTGACTCCTAGAACTCTGAATTTTCTCTGATGGAATCACTGGAACACAAAACCCAACCCTGTGTTGTTTTCCAGGGTGTGATCGACTACATCTTCTTCTCCAAGACCCACATGAGCGTCCTGGGCCTGCTGGGCCCGCTGGACAGCCAGTGGCTGGTGGACAACAACATCACCGGCTGCCCCCACCCCCACATCCCCTCGGACCACTTCTCCCTGCTGGCCCAGCTGGAGCTGCATCCTCCCCTCCCTCACCCGCTCAACCCCCTCAACGGGCTGCACCTGCCGGTCCACAGGTAGTGCAGCCGGAGAGCCCCGCCCCCCCCACACCTTTTAAACACTGTCGACCCTCCGCCCGCCCGCCTCCAGCTTTATACAGGACCCTGTACAGTTCACCCATCATGGTAAAGCTCATCCGACCCCTTCTAACCAAAAGGAGTGAAGTATTTGCCCCGTTTGTTGTGTTTTTTTTGCACACTGTATATTTCTGTTGACTTTATTTTTCTCTCTCCCCTTTGAAAAGGCTTGAAACCAAATGTGGGGATGAATATCAGTCCTCCTTTTTCTTGCACCTACAACAAACCAACACCTGTTCTAGCGTAGATCGACCGCACCAACGTCATTTGGGTGATTTATTTTTATCTTATTACGACTACAGACGCAACATAATGCTGCACCGTATAACTCTATGTTGTGTTCCAGTCGCTGCCCAACAGCCTGACTGACAGGAGTTTTAAACATACCGGGAGTAACACTACAAACACATGAATGTCACACGGGGGGGGAGGGAAGCCAAACAAACTACCGGTGAGAACTGCAGGTTTTTAAAACAGGTTTAAAAAGTACAATCTGGGTGTTTTTAAAGTAATTTATTCCACACGGGGCGGCAGGACATGAGCTGATCACAGCTGGGCTCTCATGAATACGACACTGACGGTAGACAAGAACCGTTCTGGGGGAGAACACCGGGTGGCGTCTGGTGGTTCTGCTCCTTCTCCGGGTCGTACTTCCACCGTTCGATCTCCAAAACCTGAATGAATTCTTTAGCTACAGGTTTAGCGCCTCTCGTTTGTAACTGCTAACAGGCAGAGGTGTCGTTTTCACCTGATCGGAACGATGCAAGTTCTCTGAAGTCATGAAACAATCAGTCCAACATTAGCAACCGGATCAGCCCCTGTGAGTGAAGACGACAGCAGCCGTGTTTCCATCACGTACCTCCGTATGCTGCTTAAAAAAGCACTTTTCTTTGCTGGTTTTAGATCATTTTAGAAGCTGCACTTGGCCTTTTAGTTTGGATTCTTCGCGCTCTTTCTGCTCTGGTTTTATGGGCAGAAATGTGCACGGCTAGAAACTGAATTTGAATCATTTATATGTGAATTTGAATTGATAAAGTTGAACAAATAAGTTTGTCAAAACCTCATTTGAATCACAGAATTTCACATTTTCTCAACTTGAATAACAAAAACAATGTTTGAATCACATTGGTGGATATTTTTCAGATAGAAACTGAATTCCAGCTCTGCATTCAGTCTTCACAGTTGAAACTGGGTTCTTCAGACTTTTCAGGGTTCGTCGCTGAGGAAGAGCAGCGCTTGTGGATCAAATACAACTGGATTCAATTTCAAATATATCAACTTCAGCATCAAGTTTATTGGAGTGCAGTTTCAATCTAATAAATACACATTCAAATATTGAAATTCTCAATTTTTCGTACAATTATTCAAGTTGTGAAATTCAGAATGCGTGATTCAGTTTCAGGTTGATAAATTCAACTTCAAATCACTCAAATTTGAATCTCGTGATTTGAACTTGAATTTGTCAGCTTGAATAATTTCACTAAAAACTTGAAGTTGAATTTGCTTTTTTTTTTTGTACAATTTTTCGAGTTGAGAAATTGAAACTACGAGACTCAGATTCAAATTTTTAGTAAAATCATTCAAGTGTAGAAATCTGATTTCACATCACTAGAATCTGAAACTCATGATTTGAAATTTAACTTGAATGAACCTGAGTAATTGTGAGATTCAGATTCAGATATTATTACAATCATACAAGGTCTAGCGTTTCAAATTCAAATGACGAGATTCAAAACTCAAATATTTAGTGTAATTATTCAACTTGAGCAATTCAGATATAAATGATTCAAATTCAGTTTCTCGTGCCGTCTATTTCTTTAACAATTTTCATTTAGATTTTTATGCGTTTCATTAGATGAACTTAATGGAAATTCAATAAACCTTCCCCAGTTTATTTATTTTCAAGAGTTTACGCTTCATCGATCAAGTTCTGATCAAGAAAAATCACCATCTGCCTGATTTAAAACAACTTTTTCTCTCCTAGACGCCCAGATTTTAGTTTCTTTGAGATTATTTTTAGCACTTAACCAACTTTTTTTTAATCCTGCTTCTTCTACCCTGTTAATTACCTCCACGTAGCCTGCAGCGCCCCCTTCTGGCGGCACAACAAAACAATTATTTTTATTGAATTTTGTGCGACCTTTTATAAAAGTTTGTTTCCTTTCTATGGAAGCACGGCTACTGACTGACTGACGCTTCAGCTTTTAAGAGATTTTCGCTTCCCGTCACCCGACCGGCCAAAGAATCTCCCCACGACGAGCTCCGTCGGTACAAAGATGATATTTATTTATTGGTGCCAGAGAAAGTAGTTAACTTCCTGCGGAGGGGAGTCAGTTAGTGACTCCCGACCAGGAGCTGAATGTATTTAAAAAAGGCCTCGCTCTGAAATTGGTAGTGGGAGCCCGTTGACGCCAGATTCCTGTGGACTCTAAACGTTGTGTGTCTGTGTCAGAAGATTAGGACTAATAGCCCTTTATGTACGTTAGCACTCAGGGCTACACTATGCATCCAGCAGTACCTCTCACACTAAAGCAAAACCAAACAGGAAGCTACTGTTCTGAAAAATAAAAGCACAGGAAACGTATGTACGGACACGTGTCGTCGTCGTTGTTGTACACCTCCCATGTCTTTGTGCATTTTTGATAAAACTACTGATGCACTTTTGCTCCGTTAATCCACAAAAAAAAAAAAAACGGGGGGGTGATGATTGATGAATTTGGTTCAAAATAATTTATGCAGTTTTTTGTTTTTTGTTTGTTTTTGTAAGAGACGATCAATAAACGACGATCAATAAGGCAGGGCTGGGCGTCCATCCACACCACGCTGTACTTGACTCGTCAGTGCCAATATTTTAATGTTTTTTGTTTTGTTTTTTAAAAATCGAAAAGAAATTGAGACAATAAAGTTTTTTTTCTTTCTAGAAAACCCTCTTTGTCCTTCAAATATTAAATATCGTCGACACCAGCGGCTCCAAACCTGAGAACGGGACACTAAAGACTGACGAATACCTCTTTTTTTTTTCAGGACTTATTAGTATTTAAAGACAGCTTCTATATATTTGCAGTAAAAATAAGAGTATTGTTGTCAAACTTTAGAATACTCCAGCACAAACCTTTACTTAAATGCCTTTTTAAATGTTTTTTAATTTACGTTTAATTAAAATTTGCAACATGAATCCTTCGGTGCTGATTGGCTGCTCTTCATAACCAATCAGACGACGCTTTTGAAGTATTTTTAAATTCATTTATTTTGTCAGGAGTTGGTTAAAAACTAAATAATCATACAAATGATTGGGGGAAAAACACATTTTTGGATCTGAGGCTGAAAATCTGTCATAAGCAAGAAAAATCTAATTTATTTCATTTCTCAATTTTTTATTTTTTATTTTTTTAATAGTTATGTTATAGTTATAGTTACACATGATCACAATTCAGCCACACAAACTGTGACAAGAATGAGTTGCATACTTGACAGAAATCTGCATTTTTGTGTCATTTTTTTGCCATTTGTAGTCAAAAAATGTCTATTTTTCTTCAGTAAATGAAATTACAATCAACAAAACTGCTTTTTGACTCTTTAAACTCTTAAGTTTTTATTATTTCGGTGCAAGAATATAGTTCTTGTCTATTTTGCTCGAGTAAATCAAACTCCAATGAACAAAAATCCTTCTTTTTTTTTTCTTTAAATTCTCAGTTTTCATCATTTTGGCTCCACTGATATTTTGTTTGCAGGAAAAAACCCGGTAGAATCTGCAGTAAACAATCAGGAGAGGTTCCACTGGTGTCGAGGACGTCAGCTGGTTTAAGTTTAACTGAATAAAAACATGTAACGTATAAATATGATGTATTTTTATTGAACAGTCACAACTGATGAAGGTTTGACAAAAACCAAAAAATACTGGTAGAAGTAAAGAAAAAAAAAGATTCTCCAAATATAACTACGATAAAACTTTATTTTAAAATTTCAGTTGCTCAGATGTTGTTGTTCAAACAGCTTCAATTGTAAAATGTGAAACAAACATTTTGAAAGCAGATCAGATATCAGCACGTTTTAAAAACCCTTTATCTCGGAAAATAGGGAAAATTTCACAGACACCAAAAACATTATTTTAAATTATATCCAAAGTTTATTTTTAGTTATTCAAGTTGATAAATAACTGAACTAAAAACTTGAATTTGAATTTTTGTACAATTATTCAAGTTGAGAAATTTAAATCTGAATTTCAAGATTCAAATTCAAGTTTGTGGTAAAATTATTCAAGTTGAGAGATTCAATTTCACATCGCAAAATTCTTTTAAAAATCCATATGGTTATTCAAGTTGAAAAATTCCAAATCAAACCGCAACATTCAAATGATTAATACAATCGTACAAGTTTATCATTTAAAATTATTCCACAGTTGGAGCTAAAACTTCAAATATTTTTGCAAATATTCACATTTTCTGCTGTTAAAATCCCAAATTAAGAGACTGTTGAGCAGAAATTGTTCTGAAAAGTTGGATTTCAATCAAACTGTGATGATAGAATTCATTTAGAAAGATCTTTGTTTTGTGGTTGGACGCCCAGCCCTGGTTTCTATTGAACCCCGACTGTTTGAAATTAGCATGAAAAGAACAAAGCCATAGTTTTGGGATCCTGTAACCTCAGCTTTAAAACAGAGTCTTTGAGCGTTTTGAGGCTTATACTTCACTCCTGAACCAACGTCACAGGGTTTCGTACGACGTCTGTACATAAAACATCGACGGGGGTCTTTACACCTGCGAGGAGGAATGTACCATTCTCCTGATTAAAAACAAAAGAAAAGGTGTTTTATTTTTTAAACTTTCCTTTGCCCGGTGTGAATAACGCCACCTTGACTTTTTTTTTTTCTCCCCGACGACGACGACGACGGGCATTTTCTTTCCATCATGCAAAAGTCTTTCAATTTGTACAATTCAGTATTAACGAGTTTTTGAGGAAGAAAAAAAAAAAGAGGTTTCAAAGCTGCTTTGTGGCTTTTTTTCTTTTCTCTCTCAAAGCTCTGAGATGGTTTTTTGCAGATTAGCTTCCATCGTCACCTGTAAGCGACTAAATTGTTTGATTTCCGTCTCCGTCGAGCGCACCTCATATACTTTTTCTACAAACAACGTGCCTAGTTTGTACAATTTCTCCAACAGCAGCACTGCCCATGAGACCAAGACGCTCAGAGATTAACCCAGCGCCATCATCCAGCCATCCCTCATCCATCCCTCATCCATCCATCATCCATCCATCATCCATCCATCCACCTCTTCCATCCTGTCATCCCTCCACCTCTTGGGGATGAGATTGTGAGGAATTCAAACTGAGGAATCGTTGCTCAACTCAGACTGGTTTCTGGTTTTTTTTCTCCTCCTCGGTTTCTTTGACTAGTTTCTAAATGCACACTCGATCACATGCGATTTCTGAATGTAAAAAAAAGAAAAATCCTGTTGTTCGATATCAGATTTTATCCATTTTTTGTTCTTCCGCTGTTGATTCAGACTGGTTAACATGTGGTGGCTACTTTAGATCCGATACCAAGCTTCTTTTTTTTTTTCTTTTTTTTTTGCATTTTTGGCCAAAGGATTTGTTGTCGTTAATGTGTTTTAACAAAATTGGCCAGAACGCTGCATCCAAACCTAAAAGATGCTGCATGAATGTTGTCTTCCCAGTGTATTAACCTGTACAAGTTTTAAAACTGCAAAAAAAAAAAAAAAAACTATTCTGGTGAAAATGAGGATTATGCACAATCTGAGTTGAGGTGATGCAACCGCAGTTTAATGCACTGGTTCATTTGCTGGAGTTTTGAAAAAAAAAACAGGATACAAACGGGGAAAAGTTTCGAGTCTTTCCCTGCAAATTTAAAGACGAAGGAATGCAAAGGCTGTTATTTCTGCAGTTTGTTTCCTCGAGAAGATTTGTTCAATCGAGTAAATCCGGGATCTTTAGCCACCAGCAGTCACTGATAAAAAAAAAAATATAAGGTGCTACGTTTATTTCACGGGAGGATTTCAAAGAGCCGCACTTTGTTTTTGAAAAGAAAAAAAAGAAAGAGGTTTCTGATGTGCAGTTTTTCGCCACATTCGGTTTTCCGTCCGTTTGTTTGGAGGGAAACGCCGCGCAGCTGTGTGGCCAAGAGCTGCAGACCAGGCAGGTTGTTTTTTGTATCGAGGAAGCCAAAGTGTGCATCGTGTTTTCTGACGATTAAATGTCAAAAAGAAAAAGGTGCGAAATGTGCAGCGACGCAGAGTGAAAGTTTGTCTAACGTAGGTGGCGGTGCTGTGTTCCTTGTGTTCGTCTGACTGAAAAGAAGCCGAAATACAGATTTGTGCTTCGTAGAGGTCCCGCTTAGGAATCTCCCCGCCAACTCACGAATGAATCACCGGAAGAAAACATTGAAATCAGCAAAGGATGATTTGTTTTTTTTGTTTTTTTATAACAAAAATCATCGCAGCTTTCCAAAAAAAAAAAAAAAAAGCAGAACAGCATATTGATATTGTGCATATCGAAATAAACTGGAATAGCAGAGCGCAGTTCTCCACCAAAGTCAATGAATTTTCTCGCCGTTTTTAAATAAAATCACCTGGATGTGCTGCAAAATGTTTCATAGGTTCTACCTCCAATCATGTTCCACATCTCCACCAGGTTTCAGGATATTCGGCACTAAATTGCACCCGATCAAGCAGGGAACGTTTCCACAACATCAGCTAACGTTACCCTCTAATAACGTTATAAAGAAAGCATTTATATTGTAATGTTCAAAGAACGTTTTTAGGGATATTTCTCATTTTAAATAATGTTCCTGTGAGGTTACATGTTTAAATTGGACCATGTTTTAAGGTTGTGCGATAAATTAAAAACGTTCTCAAACCAACAGTCAAAACATTTTCTTAAGACGTTCAAAGCCCCCGAAGAAACAAAGGTTAGGTTTCCTTGGAAAAACATCCCGGAAAGCCAAAAAATAAAAAAAAGGAAAAAAATTCCAACGGTCCGAAAAAGGTCCGGGGAAGGTGGTGAAAAAAAAAAAGCCAAAACTTCAATTTTTTTCCCCTCCTATAACAGAATGATGAGATACTGTCAGACCAGTCTCCAGTGATAACAGCTCTCTGGAGATTGGTCCGACTATACGAGGAAAAGTAAACGTTCAGCTGCAACCAGGTGTTCTGCAGTGAATTCAACCAGCTTTTCCTCACTTTGGTCTTCAAAACAGTCCAAAAGATTACTTTTTCTTAGTCTCGCTGGGTGCAAATGTTCCACCGAAACGATTACCTCATCACTGTTTTGTTGGGCCACCATCACTGCATCCTGGGCTTAGCTCCACTCAAAACAACTGTGATTGGTTTAAAGAAATACAAACAAGTCAGAGCGTTTTTTTGTACCTGATATAGCAAAATGATGAGATGCAGTCAGACCATTCTCCAGCGATAACAACACTCTGGAGATGGGTCTGACTATACAAGGAAAGGTAAATGTTCAACCTCAACCCAGATGTTCTGCAGTGAATTCAACCAGCTTTTCCTCACTTTGCTCTTCAAAACAGTCCAAAAAATTACTTTTTCTTAGTCTCGCTGCGTGCAAATGTTCCACCAAAACAATTACCTCATCACTGTTTTGTTGGGGCACCATCCCTGAATCCTGGGCTTAGCACTGCGCAAGATGATTGTTTTAAAGAAATGAACAACAAGCCAGAGCATTTTTTTTGCCGCCCAGCATCTATAAATAAGGTACAGTCCATTCTGCGGGGACTGGTTGGAAAGTAAAAGTAATTTTTTTTGGACTGTTTAGCTGCAACCCAGGTGTTGTGTAGAGATTTCAACCAACTTTATTACAAACTTTCTCATACAAGTCCCCAATTTTAAGCAGTAAAGCATCACCAAAGCACTTTTTTAGGGAGAATTGATCAAATTAGATAAATTGTCATCCAAAAAAGTTGACTTTGGTTATTTACTTGAGGTTTTTTTTGTTTGTTTGTTTTTTTTAATCTAAAAAGGTGATTTAGGTTAAGAACTTAGGAGCCTGGAGGCCTTGTAAAGCTACTTGTTTGGCTTATTCTTTGCACAAAAAAGCAGTGATGTGGAAAAACAACATTTCCACGAGGACTTCTACAAAAAGCCGAATCTGTATTTCGTACGTGAGCAGTTGCGCCTCAGTTGAAACCAAACATGCTCAGCAGCACTTGTCTCATCTGTCCACACTCGGCCCGACTCTCCCCAAACCCCTGTAGGCAATAAAATGTCATTTTTTGAAGAGTCTTGTTGTCTGTCATTTATTTCTTTATTTAGAAAAAAACATACAGATGCATGTTAGACATTACAGCACCTTCAAAAATGTCATCAACATGCTGAATAAATTCTATTAAGTCTTTACCAAAAATACATCTTTTTACTTACACAACACATTCATTTAATTTTTAACATTCAAACTGTTTAATTTCAGAGTTCCTAACAACAAATATTAGCTAATTTCAGTAGTTCAGGCTTAAAATGCTGCACCAAGACCAAGTTTGTACACCGTTATTATCATTTAAAACATTACAACAGTTGGTTAAATGAAGAAACTAAACTAAAAGATGTCAAATCGCACCAAAAACAAAAGCATTTGTAGGACTTCAGAGTGGCTCAGCTTCCTTCTGTTAATTCACAGCTTCGATCAACTCGACCAGAACTAAAACAAAAAAATCAGAAGTCGGTTGCGGAGGAAGTCGGTGGTGAAGCGGTGGAGTTGAAAGTCGCGTTTTTCCTGCAATAGAAGGAACAAAAATGATTTTAAAAAAGAAGCCGAGTGGATAATAAAGCAGAATCAGCAGCTCGGTGTTGCGTGGTGATCAGGGATGACGCGACAGTGATGACAACATACAGAACAATGGGGTTTTTATTACCATTATCGTAATAAGCGACGGTGAACACAGGACTTAGCCCCGTTCTTGGCGCAGCCCGTCCTTCAGACACAACAACACAACCAGTAAATACACAACTTTGGGAACAAAATGATCAGAAATGTAGAAGGAAGTCAGTAGAAGTGTGATTTCTTCATTTGATTTTGGTGCCTCTAAATCCCAAAAACGTCCCGAAAGCTCACCGTTGATGTTTCAGACTTCTAATAAAGTGTCAGTCTGGAGGAGTTTAGCTCAAATATGTCTGTTCAGGAGGTTTTAGTTGCTAAACGAGGGTATAAAGTATTAAATTAGGTTGCTGTTGATGCAAACATTTAACTGGCAAAACAAATTCTATTCTGAAGGATTTGCAGTGAGTTAAAAACGCATCTACAAACCAGGACAGACGTCATTTTGTCTATTTTTTGCCTAAAACAACAACAGTGTAAAAATCTGATCATAGTTTAGGTTCTATGTCACGTTGCCGCCTTAATCTACATTAACTGTCTGGTTTTGTCAAGTTGTGTTACATTTTTTTTTACCAGCTTGTGTCTCCTCTTTGTCATCTTAGTGGGTTTTCTCGCATCTTGTCGTGCGGGGTTCTGTGTCTTGTTTGTATAGTTTTGTGTCCGTTTGTTGAATATGTCTTGTTTGTGTTGTGTTTGCGTTCTTTTCCGTCTTGTTTTTGTCAGTTTGTGGTATTTTTTTGGTCTAATTTTGTTATTGTATGTCTCATTTCTGTTGTTTTGTGTTTTGTTTGTATTGTTTTGTGTCCATTTTAGCCAATTATGTCTTATTTGTGTTGTTTTGTGTCTCATTTGTTGTCTTGTTTGTCAGTTAGCGTTATTTTCTGTCTTTCGTCATTTTATGTCTCGTTTTTCGTTATTTTCCGCCTCATTCTTTGTTGTTTTGTGTTTTGTTTGGATTGTTGTGCGTCTCGCTTGTTGTTTTAACTCTCATTTTGTCATTTGTATGTCGTTTGCATTGTTTTGTTCCATCTCATTGTGTTGTTTTGTGTCCAGCTTGTGTCGTTTTCTATCTCGTTGTAAGTTTTGTTTTCGTTTGTGTCATTACGTGGTTTTGGATTGTTTTGTTTTGTGTCCTAATTTGTAATTTTCTTCTGTTTCTCTTGTTGTGTGTCTGATTTTTTTGTTTATTTTTTCCTCTTTGTTTCCTTCTGTGTTGTGTTTTCTCACATTTTAACCGTCTTTCAGAGGAACACAACTCAGGATCTGGCTGCAGCTCTACAGGATGCTGCAGGACTGAACTCTTGCAGACTTTAACAGACTTCAGGCTCCAGAACGTCGACTAGAAAGCTGGAATTTGGAGCAACAACTGAGCGCAGACGTGGAAACGTAAAGACGCGAGTCCCCGACCACCAACAAACACACAAAGAGGTTTAGGACCATTAAAACCTCTGAGAGCAGCAGCACAGGTTCACGTGTACACGCTCCGTGTCTTAAACCAGAAGTCCATATCTGGATTCAACTGCAGATAGAAGTAAAATCAAATGTGGGCTTCTTACTTTTGCAGAGCGTTCAGGAGTTCTGGGAACCATTTGGCGTCCGGGTCGACACAAACCGTGGAGCCGCTCTTCTTCAGGATTCTGAGGAGAAACCAGTTTTTATTGGATGACGTTTAGATAAATTATTACAATGATTAAAAACAAACCAGTTTTGAGCTGCTGCAGCCGTTAAATGTAGAAAAACTTCACATTTATTGATGTAACAGAGGCTTTAAATGTGATATTTATTTATTTCACTACTTCTTTGCAGTAATTTGTGCCACTAGAAACTGAGTTTAGATGATTTATATGACTGAGAATAGCTCGATTTAAATAGTAAATAGTAAATAGTGCTAAAAATAATCAGATTAGTCTGTCAGAATTTAAATTTATCATCTACTTAAACTGAATTCCAATAAACTTGAAACTGAATGTGATATTTTGAGACTGAATTCAGACGTCTGTTCCACAACAACCATGTTTCATTTGTAAAAACTGAACGTTCAGAGTTCAAATGATCAAACTCATTCTCACATCACCTGAATTCAGTCTCATAATGATCCTTCTGAAAGTGCACTGGGACAAAGTCAAACTACATTTAGTCGTTCAAATGAAGTTATAGGATTAAAACTGACGAGTTTCATTTGGTCATTTAAAAAGAAATGGTTCAAATTCAGTTTCTAGCGACACTTTTCTGATTCGTTTTCATTTTAAAGAAACTGAAACTGGAGGAGAATTGAAAAAGTTGCGTAAAACAGACACGTAGCTTCAGTTACTGGTACTCGAGTAAATCTACTCTCCTGCATCAGGACTTACAGGATCTCGGTGCGGCGGCAGTGACCTGAAGCCGGAGTCACCTCGATCTTCTTCACCACTCGAGCAGGGACACGATGGGAAACCGTCCGGAGGCAGCGGCAGCGATGAAGAGCAACGGCTGGAAAACAGGAAACAGGAACAGACTGATTTAAAGGTTTTTATCTGCAACACTGAAAACACAAACCAACATGTGAAGTGGAGCTTCAGTCCTGCTCCTTCCTGCTTGTTGTGCAGCTTTTAGCAGAAAACCAGAAACTAGCTCAATTAAGATCCAGAAAAAAGCAACTCAGAGAACGCTGAGGGTTTATAAATTAACTTTGACTCAACAGAACGTTTATGTCCACCAACACAACTGAAGATTTAACAGCTTTGTTCTTTGTTAACATACTTTTAGCTGCAGTTCTAGTCAAAATAGTGTAATTTATGTGTTTTATAAAAGGAATAATGTAGAGTAGGT